AATAACGGCTATATTTTTCATTCTCCTTCTACAAAAAAGTAGCTCAAACAAGGCCATAGTTAAAATGTAAATTTTACTTACATTATTCCTAATACACCCCTATATTAAATAATGGTTTGCATAGGAGTATGTTATATTTGTTGATAACAGGGCACGTTAAATAGGGGCATAGGAAATCAACTCTGGACAAGAAAAGTGGTCTATAATTTGGAACATAAGAAAAAGGAAAGCAAGTTTATCTTTATGGAACGGAGAGAGTAATATCAAGGCCGAATAACCGAGAATATCGGAAAACAAAAACCATGAAATAAAACCTGAGCAGATACTTATCCAGAGACAAAGCTAAACAAAAACCAGATTATCATAATGAAACAGTTAGTAATACTCCTCATACTGACAAAAATAGCAATCAATCTCGAAACTGAAATCAGAAACAAAGTGGTCTCCAAAGAGCCACTCTTTATAGCAGACAAATATATATATATATATATAATTCAAATGATAAACATTTCAAAATGTCAATGGAAATTGAGATTGGACTTCAACAAGCCACATGTTAAAATTATTTAGTTTTCAGAATTCACAAGAAAGGCATATAAAAAAAAAGAAGCAGCAGTAAAGTCAACTTCTGTAGCACACAACACCAACATGCAAAATGATATTGGTAACTTACTACAGTCTACCATATGAATAAGAAACATCATCTACCAATACCAGATATAAATTAGCTTTTCCAAACCGGGCTAAATCATATGGTGTGTTACAAACAACTCATCAACAAAAGGCAGTTGCAAAATGGATAAACTCTCTGCTGTTTTAGCAGTTATACACAACAAATTACAGCTAAGATTCATATAAATGAAACAAATTTAATTGTGCCATATATAGTACCTTCACCACAAGGAGACTTCCGAGTTGTAATGTTAAGAACCTTGGTAGGCATTCTCACTGGTCCCTTGACCCTAAGCCTCTTGTCCTTGGCACCACGTACCAAATCAGCACACACTATTAATAAGATTCAGGTCAACCAAACATTAATTTAATAACAAATAAATAATAATATCTTACTTAGGAGAGAGTATTTATTAATCCTACTTAAATCAAATGACGAAGTTCAAAAAATTGTATAACACATTTCCCAACGTTCTAGAGGCAATCCAATTGCAGCACAAAAATTGCTATCCATCCAACCCATTGCAATACCCATGGATCACATTTGAACTACCGGTGGAAATAAGTAATATTCTATGGATCACTAAAGTAACAACCCGTAAAATTAGGTACATTTTAGTTTTAAGCTACTTATTTTACCAAATAAAAATTTTCAATGTTACTTTTTCACATGCTCCTACTTTTGAACTAGAATAAACCAATGAGAAAAAAATAGACAACTTAAATAAAAACTGATGTAGTAACAAAATGCATATGGTCCAAACACCACTAGAGAAAATAACACAAAAATCATTGACCGAACTATGGTAGAAAATCATCTAAGATTAACTGAATGCGCATTTACAACAAAAATAGCATTCTCCATAAGAGTAACTGTGGTGGATGAGACAATTAGAAGAACATGACGGAAGAATTCAATTATGTTTGGCCCCTATTATTCCAAAAACTCATTTAATTTTATAAGTAAACCCAAAAGTTTTCCTTATTTTTTAACCACACATTCTCAACAAAAAATTATTGGAAAATGCATTTTGGCACAAAAATGGGCTCAAACAAGAGCCATAGGACGATAGCATACCTTTCTCGAGATTCTTAACATTTTTGGAGGAGAGAGTGATACGGATCTTGTGAATCATTTCCTGCGGCTCCTCCAATCCAGGTTTTGTCGGCTTCATTGCTGCGTACGCCATTATTTACCTTTCTCTTCTTCTGCAATACGGGACAGTGTTAAATACTATTTTATGCTTGTGAAAGGAAATCAAACCTAAATTAACAAATATGGAAAGAATTTTAGTATAAAGAGATCGGCGGCAGAAGAGATAACTGGAGGCTGAGAGAGGTGAACGACGGCGGCGGCGGAGCTGGGAGTGCGGAAGAGCTTTGCGATTCGACGACTTCGGAAAAATAAGCAACAGACCTGTTTGCCGAGTTTATATGTCTAGGGCAAGGGTTTTTTTATTTTATTAATGGGCCTATTTTAGGGTTTTGGATTAAGGATTGGGCTGAAAATGCTATTGTCACCTTGTCGGGCTTGTATTGGGCTAAATTCTATGGAAATAATTAGGCCCATTACCATAGAGCCGATCGGTATGGCTTGGCCTGTTAGGACCATGTTGTCTTACAGGAATTAAGCTATCATGAATTATTGTGGAGCTGATATGTTTGTAGGATTTTCGTCGTCTAAGACATAGTAGGTTGAGACGTAGCGACTTTTAGCTTGGAGTTTTAGTGATACTGGGTTGAAAGGGATATTATCAATACTACAGGCTTGCTTGTTTTCTTGTTGGAAAGTTCAGGGTCTTCGCCGTCTCGTGGTGCCATTGCTGAGATAACGGTTGGCATGTGGTGGTTTTTGGGATTATTATATTGGTTTTGGTTGTAGAGAAAGGAGGTGGAAAAAATTAGGGATGGACCTCCCGAACTGAACTGAACCAAATCGAGCGGTTCTTCATAAGTTAAATACCCGAACGGGTATCTGAATCGAGAACTGACGTGTTTGGTTCGGTTCTCGGTTCTAGACTCAGAATCGAAAAATTGAATAAGAACCGAATTTAAATAATTTTTTATATTGAATTAATTAATTTTTTTTAATGTTTTCTAAACAAATTAATAAATTACTATTTTAGTGATTAATGTTCTAACTCTCAAACTAAATCCAAGCCTAGCTAACTCAGCCTAATGCAATTTCTAATTCAAATTTTGATTTAATTTTTTGATCATATTATTAATTTCATTCTTACCCTAAGATCTAGGCCTTTTTAAGTTTTTATCATTCTTTTTCCAATTTCACACTTTCATTCGATGACCACTAAGTCACTGACACCAAATCATTTGATAAATTGAAAACCTACATCTACATGCCCAAATCGAAATCGCCAACTGCCGAGTCNCCAATTTCATTTTTTCATTCGGTAAGCACATGTCCACTAACCCCATATTATTTGATAAATTGAAAATCTACATCTACATGCCCAAATCGAAAACAGCCGACTGTCGAGTCCGACTTCCCCTCTCCAATGTCCATCGAAACCGCGACCTCCAACTACAACCACCGTTCGTTGACCATTAGAAATCTGTTAAAAAAAATTTAATTATGGTACGGAATCGAACCGAATCGAACCGAACTGAACAAAACCGAACCCGAATGGTTCCATAATTATATTTGGACCCGAAGGTTCCATTTATTAAATACCCGAAAATTTTGGTTCGGTTCGAACCTAAAGAAAACATAACCGAATCGGACCATGTACAACCCTAGAAAAAATGATGGGGTTGAGGATTAGGAATTGGAGTATTGCCCTCATAGATTTTCATACAAGGAGCTTAGAAATTCTATAAAGAAGTTTTCTAGTGAAGAATTACGCGGATCCAAAGGATTTGGAAAAAAAGTAATGCTATTTATCATCATAATGATGAAATATCGATGATATGTCAATTTAGATTAAATAATGGGACATGGCAGTTCAATTTTCATAAGAGAAAGAGAGTCAGATTGAACCATCATATCTTATTATTTCACTTAAATTGTCACATCACTGATATTCTATCATTATAATGATATATGACATTATTCTTTGGAAAAGTTTATAAAGGGAAAATTCAAGTTTTGTTGAGGAAGAAAGTTCAAAGAAGAAGAAAAACTTTTATTCGCATGTTTATAAATCTAAAGTTAGTCAAGATTTTTATTATGTTTGAAGTTATATTCTATATTTAGTTAATCTATAATATATTAAATATCACATCAAGTGAAAATTATTTTTTGGTCGATTTTAAGCCTACTACAATTTAATTATTTCAATAATACTTTACTTTTCGTTTTCAATATGTAATAAATACGACAAAATCATTGTCATGTATTAATTTAATGTTATTAATTCTTAATTAATTAACATTTACATTAATTTAGACTCAATAAATCTTGACTTGATGAATCTTGATCTACATGAATTTAAAGTTATAGATGAATTTAATTCTATTATTGTATCTAGAACTTTTGATGAGTATTTAAATTCATGTATTAACAATTAATTCTTATGTACCAAGTGTAGTAGAAAAAAGTTACTCATTTGTAGTATTTCATCATCCAAAAATTTGAATTATAGAAGTTGAGTTTTGAGAGTATAATTTTTTTTTATCTTAAATTCATATTCTAAATTTTATTTTCTTTAGTTTCTTTGAGACTCATAAAATCATCTCAACAAATTGGTATCAAATATTACTTTTGCTGCATTTATAAAATATTTTAGAATAACGAGCAATGCATGTTCTACTTTGACTAGTACAAGTAAAACATAATTATAAAGAGACAATGTGTAGAAAAAATTAACCATTCCCTAGATATATTTTAAGGTTTTGATTGGTGATTGTCAATTTTTTTCTTTAATTTCTGTCACTTTTTGGAATGTGTCGCTTCTAGATTATAGGATGTTGTATTCTCAAGTTATGTTCTATATTTAGGCCTCGTTCAGGAGGGATTAAAAGCCAATTAAAATTGAAAATATGGTCGTTATTGTGTCCCACTCGTCTAATAAAAGTCAACAATAACGGCTATATTTTCAATTTTAATCCCTCCCATACAAAGCCTTAGTTAATAGAAGTGAAATATAATCACAAAGAAACAACATGTAAAAGAAAATCAACCACCTCTGAATTTAATCTAAGGTTTCGATGGTTTCTCGCCTTTTTAAATGTTTGTCATTTCCAACTAGTAGTGTATTGTGTCTCTATAATGAAGTTATATTATATTTTTAGTTAATAGAAGTAAAATATAATTACAAAGAAATAACATGTAGAAGAAAATCAATCGCCATTGATTATATTCTAAGGCTTTGATTAGTCTTTCTCACTTTTTTGAGTGTTTATCATTTTTTTGAATTTCTGTCATTTTATTGAATCCATATTTAGCCCCCGTTTGAGCCCCATTAAATGAAATTTAATTACATTAATTTTTTCCTTCACTTCATTTCAATCACACATTCATCAAATAAAATAATATTACACACAAATCTAAAACTTTTCAACCACATATTCTCCCATCAATCACTATTCTAAAAATTTTCAACCCCCAAAAATGGGGGCCAAACAGGGGCTTAATATCATAGAAATAGATATCATTTAATCTTTATGAAGCATGTATTTGTTTTTAGTTTATTTAATATCATTTAAATATCTATCTTTTTTTTTTCTTTTTGCAGGATTGAAATTTAATATAATGTTCTTCTTGTCAAAGATTTTATTAAGAAATGTCAAGACACAAGATTCGTGATATGTTCATTAAAAATTGATATAGCATGTTGTGACACATTTTAATTAAAATGTCACACACAATCAATTTCTAAACTATTGAGCTCAGATTAAATTGCTCATCAGACAAAAATACTTATGACAATGACCATACCTATAAATTAGGTGATGAATTACATGTTACGAAAATATGTTCGTTATTTAGTTCATTTTAGGTATTGATTATATAATTAATCTCACTCTTTGCTACCTCAAAGAACGCAAATTTATAATTAAAGTTCATAGTTCGTTCAGAAAATTATTATTGATCATGTCTAATAATATATTATTATTATTATCTTTATTTTCAAAGTCAAGATAAATTTTAATACAGATTTTGAAAATAAAGTGTCCGGCAACTAATTTAGATCACATTACAAAATGAATCTTTATGTACTTAACAGCTTAAGTACTTAATTAATAATAATATTTGTGTTCAATATACATTATTTCCTTAAACATAAAATACATTTATAAAAAATAATCAAATTTTATTTTTCTTCAAAATATAAAGTCGAATATATATATTTGGGTATATAACCCAACCATCCTCGTACTTGCTCTGAACTATATGAGAAATGCTAAGCATTCTCATTTTCTCGAAATGCTTTCGAAATTCCTTGGTGAATAAATTTGCGAAGTTTTCTGCAGATGCAATCTTAAAACTATCACGTCCTGATCATGATGAATAATCTTTCTGGCTAGTACTTTTGCTCTCCGTGTTTTCCACATTGATAGCTTCTTGGTTCTTTAGCGTTCGTTGTAGTTCTATTTTTGTCAAGATATAGTATCATAGGCTATGATGCTGAGGGAACCATTTCGAGATCTACAAGGAACTTACTGAGGCATACGACCTCCTTAGCTGCTTCACAAGCTACCACGTAATTTGCTTCCATAATGGAATCAACAATTTAAGACCGTTTGATGGTTTTCCAAATGACAGCGCCATCTCTCAAAGTAAATACATATCCTATTTTTAAAGTCTGAAGGGAATTGGCACAATGATGCCAAACAACCATTAGCTGGATTGATCGACTAGTTGACTGATCCTTGTGTTTTAAATGGTGCAAAAACGTGTTTCTGAAAAATAGAGAAAGTCGTGTTTTACTTACCTATTCAAATGGATGCCCAAGATGTCGTTGAGTGTAATCTCCACGACCGTTGGATGAAGGACCTTTGGGTGACTCTTATAAATGGCTTCCTAGGGTTTCAACAGTGCATTGGCTCCTGATATTTTCTCTCTCACTGGCTGCGCCATTCGTGTTCTTAGCTCTACTTCTCTTTGAAAATCAAACATCTCTTTTAATTTTCTTTTACTCTCAGTATATTGTAATCTTGAGTGATTTCTACTGTGATGAATGTTGTTGTGTGAACGATTGCTTGAGTGAAGGTT